ATGATGTCACCAATGTGACAGAAATCAGGAAAGTAAACAATGGAGAGCAACATGGAAGGAAGCCAGGGGGTAGTCATTGTTCTTTATTGTTTCAGTCTATTATCTGTCTGAATCTGTCTTACCAATGCTGCTCAATGTTTATCGATTATAAACAGAGTTGTTCCGGCTTGTTAGATCAGAAGCGACTGGCGTGGTGCGTTGACGTCCGTACGTGAAGCTCAATGGTATCACGGAAATTAGTGGGTCGCATTTGGTCTGGTGTTCCCACAGCATGCTGATCAGAGCTGAGGTGATTTTAACATGGGTCACTTGCCGAGTCGCTTGATCTGGGTAGACACACGCCAGTGAGCCGTTCTCAAAGGAATATGCTGGAGTTTGTTGGTGTCTACATAAGATGCAGTGTTTTAGCCAAGTCCAGTCTGGATATAAATTCAGATCTGCAGAAAGGCTATTCAAAACTTCCTAAAATCTTTAAACTTCACTGTAACAAGCTTTAAATTGAGAAGCCCCCTTCCTATGAAAGAAAAAAACATTTTAAACTTGAAAAACTTAAGTCCAGTTCTTTTTCCCTTTTTCAAAGCTTTTTAAGGCTGCCTGTTTGACTTTATTGTTATTTATTTATTCTCATATATAAAATACTTTTTCATAGTACATCTTAGGTATGTGACTGAATGTGTTGTTTTATATTGATGGGGGCTGCTTGAAAAATTGGGCATGAAACAGATCTAATTTGAAAGTTAAAGGACAAGTCTGGTCATATTCAGAATTCAAACTTCTGAAACATAATGTTTAATAAATGATTAGTGTTTTTAATTCAGAGTAATTCTCATCTGAATGTGCTTAAAATAGGTTTAGCGCCGCCACAGCATGGGAGGCAGAATTACGCCCAGCAGCAAATGGATAAAAATAGACCGCAGGAAAAAAAAAAAACATGAATCAATAGTCTTGCGGACGTATCGATGCATCGACTCATCGGCTGTTGGATCGATGCATCGATACAAATGATTATTATTTACACCACCCTATTCCATACTGTTCAATAAATTATCAGTGTTTTTAATTCAGAGTAATTTTCATGTGAATGTGCTTTACTGGAGGCATCCATGTTTGTCAAAGAACACTACTGCCACCTACTGGTTAGTGACGTCACGGTGCGGTATCGGCTGTTGATCAAGTCCCAGTGCTGTATCTGGTGTTTGTTACAACGCGCTATTATCCAAGTCATCTTGAAAACATTCTTCTTCCAAATGTTGGCAACATATTACAGGTTTTTTCTCTGGCCAGAAGTTCGATGGCAAATCCTCCCTCTTCAAGTTGGCGATCCAACGACCAACCCGTCCGTGGAGGATCAGGAATCAGAAAGGTGGAATAACTCTTTTCTTTTTGCCCTTTTACCCGATGTATTCCACCATCCAGCTGCCATGCACGTGGGCATTGTCAGTTTCACTATAGCTCTGGTGAATTTCAATGGTGAAGTCCTCTGGAAATCTTCAATAATTGTTGTTGATTGCAGATGTGTCTAGTAGTTCCCATTGATTTTGCTTGTAAAGCGGGGAGAATGGCGCTAGGCTTACCGCACCGTGACGTCACTGCTGGAAGATGCCAGGAGGGAGGGGTTACTATATTTGGGCAAAAATGGCCGCTCCCAGACTCAGCGATCATGACAAAAAATATTATTATTATTTTCTTACTGATTAATTCAATAAATCAACGCAAACGTATAAGTTTTAGCATAAATAAAGATCCATTGATTATTCTTTGTTGAGTGGAGTTTCCCTTTAAATTAGCACTTCTTAACTATGTTAACATGTTCTTGCTACACTGAATTTAGTTTCTTTAATACTCATTTTAATACAACTACATATCTTTCTGCCTGTTTATCGTCTAAAAATAAGCATCAGAAACATCTAGCTAATAAAATTCAGACAAATAAAAAGACTAAAATGTACACACCTGTCACAAAAAGAATAAGTGAGAATGGACAGAATGAGCTGTATAGACAAAGCCACAACGATCTAGTAATAAATAAAAATTCTTTAAATTAGGAGTATTTACTTTACCAATGGAATCAGTATTTTTCCTCTTAAAATAAGATAATGAGATACTATGCACTTGAAATGAAAGACTGCAGCTGTTTTTTTCTTACTTTAAATATAAATTGTCTTGTTCCATTGGTAAACTGTCTCACTTACCTCCTCAACTCAAGAAGAAATGCACTTATTTTAAGAAAAAAAAATTAACTTATTGAGAATAAATTTTTTACAATTTAGTACAATTGATCTAAATCCTAATTTCTAGGTTTTGTTTTTTATTCCATATGTTCAAAAGAGGCTGAACAAATGTTTGATTCACATTTAATGAAACATTCCTTTTATATTTTCCGAAATAACATTGCTTTAGAGCGACCCTAAAGAAGATGTTCAACTCTAAAAATAATTGAGTGACAATGCAGATTTAGTATAATGTTTTTATTGTGGGTTTTTAAATTACCAAAAGTTGTTAATAAATTGATATTTTTTCTGTCCAATTAGATAAGTTTAAAATACTAAATCAGTTGTAACCATTTGGAACTTAGTAGCCTTCTTATCAACAGATGTGTTTAAGTAACTGAGTAACAGCCTGGTTCTGCTGGAGGTTTCTTCCTGTTCAAAGGGAGTTTTTCCTCTCCACTGTCCCTACAAACATGCTTAGTGTGAGGGATTGCTGATGGGTCAATGAGTCGATGCAATCTACTGGTTTTCTTTAAATAGAAAACTTTTAATCAATTTCACTGGATGATCTGGTGAACTGTAAAGTGCCTTGAGATGACGTGTGTAGTGAATTGGTGCAATAGAAATAAACTGAATTTAATTGTAACAAAGTAAAAATACTTTGTTACCTTACTTAAGTAGAAATTTCTAATTTACTGGAGTAATTATTTTTTAGAACGATTTACTTCTTCGCCTTACAACTAAAAAATAGACTCCTTCATTTAAGCTCATTTTCATTAAAACCTGTTGGTATTCAAAAAAAAAAAATAAATAAATAAACATCAAAATAAATTGTTTTATCCAGACAATTAATTTCTTTGTGGTTGGACTCGCTGCTGCCCCAACTTGTTGTTCAGCACATACCAAAATAAATAGTTTTTCAAGATGATGCAAAGTTAAATTTGACACTGTTACCATTAGTTATAAAACTAAGAAAATTAAGTCTAAGGATGTTATCATCCAGATTTGAAAAACATTTTTCCTTTAATAGGTCAGTGCAGTAAAGCGTCTGTCCTTAACAATATCCTGCATTACTTTTACACTTTAAGTAAAAAGCTTGAATTGAAACTCTAACTTCTGCAATAGGGTTTTTAAACAGCAGGATTTTAAATTCTGCTTGAGTAATACATATTCAGCCTTTTGACACCTCTGCTTATCAAATAGTTTTTTTTGAAATCTTTTTAGTGTTATTTCTCAGTTGGCAACTTTTTACTTAAACTTGAGCATAAATAAAATGAAGTATTGCTATTTCTTGTGGAGAGGCTATAGAACAAGAATGATGGACAGAATCTGTCCATCACACAGCATCCTGATGCTCCTTCAGCAGGTGATCAATGGGGTCTAATACCTTCTATATAATACCTTCTAATAGGAGCTCTGTGGTGTATAGCGCCCCCTGAATTCACATAATAACACTGACATATTTTAAATATTTAAGATCAATAATGTAATGGTGTACATAATTAGTCTGAAACATTCAGTTCATAATCCCAGTTCTGAAGTCTGCTACTATCTACTCAGTGGTCCCTCCGGATATGTTACATAGGGGGGGGGGGCAGATGGGGCACACTGAAACTAAAAGCCATCATTTCAGGGTTTGAATCAACTATTGTGGTAAACCTGCCTGTAGAAATCATAAAGACTTAAGTAAAAATCTACTGACATCTTGGTTTATTCTGTGATTTTTAATGTTACGTCGCTGGCTGTGCTTTATGGGCTGAAATGCTAAACTGATGCTACTACAATTTATACTGGCCGTTTGGTGGCCATTGGAGCCAGTGGGGTGGCCAGGGCATTACACACGGTGGCCGTGGCCACCCTCTGGTGGCGCCACTGTAATCTACTGATTTTTGATTTTCCCCCCAAAGTGAATAAGTGTTACAGAGATTCAATAAATCTTGAGTTTTGTTTTTACTTTGCAAAGGAGCAGACCACAACGCGCTGCGTTACAACCGGGACATGTTCAGATGAGGCGGTTATTACGCAGGAAGAGTCTGCGCCGCACCGCGCGCCGCACCGCACCGCACCGCACCGCCCGGTGCGCAGCAGGAAGGTGAGAAAACTGAAATTACTGCCGGACACAGTGACAACATTCTGCCAGAACGGCTTCAAAATCAAATAATAAACGCTTCCTCCGACTTTACAGGATCACTTAAAGGAAGAACTAAAAAAAGAAACATAAAGACGGTGATTCCGCCTTCATTCGTCCATCATAATTAACCTTCTGTAAAGTATAATATTTCATGGAAATCTCCTAAAATCCTCCATCTGATCATTTGATAGGAGTGATTTTGGTCGTAATCAGCCTTACGGTGATGCGCTCCGTGGTTATTCTCAGCTGGCTGTTAACAATAGCGGCTCTGGGTTCCTGGTGGAAATTTACCACCAAACAGACGTCCTACATGAGTCCTTTAATCAGCGGCGGTTGCCTCTGCTCACTGTAAGACTTATTCACTCTAAACATTCTGCACAGCCAACCTTTCTCAACACTTTTAAAACATGACTGATGTATTTATTTTTTAACATCTCACCTGACTACATTTAAACGGTGATTATTACGCAACACCTTTGCTTCGGTGCGACCCTTTAGGTGCGCTCAAATGATGCAGGTTCCACCAAACTAGTGAAAGTCAATCAGCAATCAGTCACAGTAAATAAATCAAACAGATCATCCCGCTGACAGCCGCAGCATATATGGGCATAAGAATATGGAAAGTAGCGGAGCTTCCTCTGTGGGAACCAGTAACTCACCTCCACCGTGCATTTGACAGAGGTAAGGAAACCTCCACACGTTTCCCAGTCCGACGGCATAGGAAACACAGGCCAGAACAAACTCCATGGGGCTCCCCCAGCTGTCCCGAGCATCTTTCGCCATGTCTGCGATCTGAGAGAAGAAGGAGACGGAGAGGTTCACGCGCAGCCAAACTCCAGCAGCGCCGGTCTGACGCGGCAGCGGCTTTATAAACTGGGATTGAATAGCGGTCCAGGGAGGAGGGTCCTCCACCGGGGGGGGGGCGGAACAAATGACTACAATACCCATGAACCGTTAGCTGGAAGCCTGGCCTAGAGCTTCCGGGAAGATGTAGTTTTCCAAATATGGATGTTTCCGATCGATCTAACTGGGATTTAAAGTCACGAACATTGATTAAGAGAAGCCCTCCACTGGTTTCATATCTGTTACATTTGTTTTAAATCACGATCTAAAAAGCGACATTTAGACAAAATGTGAAAGTGGGCGGGGCTGCGTGTAATCACAGTGAATATTTAAATAAACACGTGCGCGCTCATTCATCAGTGGAAAATAACCAACCTTGTAACGAAGATTACTCCAGCCTGCAGTCTATCTATCTATCTATCTATCTATCTATCTATCTATCTATCTATCTATCTATCTATCTATCTATCTATCTATCTATCTATCTATCT